GATGATGCTTAGTTTCTCCCATTACTTTTGGTATGACAATTTCTGTGAAATAAATCCATGATGTATGTCCTCAGCCAGCTTTTTCAAGGAATCTGGCACCATGTAACTTGTGGTCTTCCCCAAAGTCAAAATGACCATGAAAGGTCAGTGTTTTAAATCCATCTGGGATTAAGGCAGCCAAAACAGAGCAATTGAAGACACAGAAGAGGACTTGCAACACTGCTTCAGAAAGTGGCAAGAAGGGGCTGCAGACATAGGTCAGTGGCTTAAGCGCCTGCTTGGCAAGCACAAGGTCCTGAGTTTGATCCCCAGTACCACAAAAAAAAGACAAAAACAAACAAACAAAAACACCAAAACCCCTCAAACAGTCTTAAGAAAGTGGTGAGAATGATGGGATATGTGTGTCCAAAGCAAGGGAGAAGTATTTAGAGGGAGGTAAACGGCAATGTGACTTTACCGTAAGTTTAAAAAATTTAAGACGCAAAGAAAATGGTAATAATATTTGAATTAAATTAGCCGGTAAGCAAGCTTCAGCTTCATTTAGTATTTTTCCTCTTTTATGGCATCTCATTGTTAGGCCTAAAATCTCATTTTTGCGATGTTACACTGGAAGGTCGGTGCCCTTTGCCTCTCCTTAATTCAGGCTTCTGTATTGCCCGGTAGGCCTGTGGTTTCAGTGGCTCACTCAGAGGGTGGGCAAAGGCAAAGTTTGGGATGGGAAGAACAGAGATGGGGATGGGCTAACACGTAGTGATTTGCAAAGTAGGCTGCGTAAGGAAAGATGGAGAATGGGTGTCCTATGGCAGGTAATCACATCTGGGCTTTTTATTGCAGTTGCTATGCTAAAATACTGTCAACAACTAGACTTACAGCTTTTTGAGGGTGGCAATTGTACATTATGCTCATTTACACCTCAGAATTTGGCACACAACTGTATATTCACAGAAAGCATGGATAAAAGATACTCCCCTTCTCCTTTGGAGTGTCTTTCTCCCATTTTATGGGTTAAGAAAATGGGGTGAAGAAGTTGTTTGTTTATAATATAATGGTTCTCCTGAGTGTTTTTTTTTTAAACAATGCATATGTTGGGATGAATTACTTTGATCTGCAATTTGCAAGTGTGCCTGGATTTCACTATTCAGTGTGTGTGGACTCCGATTGGAGGGGGCTGTGGAGAATGCGTGCGTCCTCCTGGGGTTGAGGGCTTTGCTCCCTTGAAAGCATCAGGCAGTTCATAGACCATTGGAGCAGAGAGGGGTGGGTGGAGAGGAGATTACATAGGGTCCAAGCCTTTGCCAGGACTGAGATTTTACCTTCCAAGCCAATCTATGGGGAATCTCCCCACTGAGTGCTTCCACACTTGGGGTTTGAAGGGCAAGCCCAGAGGCTACATTTTTAGCCATTTACAGGGTACTAACCTGTATTATTTGATCCAGAGTAGCCACACCTGGTGTTGTGTTACACTTCACTTTTTACTTTCCCTTTTTTTTGAGAACAATGAAAGGAATGAGAAATGAAGGAAAGAAGAAAGGAGGGCCCTTCTTCTGACCTCCTTTCTTCCCTTGATCCTTTTATTATCAGTGTGGCATAGTATAGAGGTTCATGGAATTTCTCATTCCATGAACATGTAGACTCTGTTGCTCTGTCCTCACCCATCACCCTCCCACTGTAAATATTATTTAGACTATTTGTTTACAGCTGGCTATGACGTGAGGTCGTGGTTGAGCTACTGCAAACAGAATCGTCTCACACCATTTTCTCCAAGCTTTGAACACAAGTTTGCATTCAGGGTTCCATGGTGCCTGGCAGAGTACCTACCCGCCTTCTTCTGAATATTTATGCCCAAATGCCAGGATGTCGGATGCCCGTCCACTGCCATCACAGACAACCACCGGCACAGGAGGCGTGTCTCGCAGGTACTCCAGAACAATGGAAATCACATTGGGTCCTCCTTCCACAATGAGCGCCACCACTGGGACTCCTTGACCGATTCCTGCATTAAAAAAGGAAAAGAAAAGGAAAAAAACGAGAAAAGAACACAAAGCCAGCAAACCAAAGAAACAAAAAGAGAAACAAAAAGCACAAACTAAAATTACTGAGCATGGGGAGGAAACAACATATGAAAGGATAAAAATACTGAGCGAAAATTTACAGAAAACATAGTGGAAATCCCCCCACCCCGCAGACCCAAGAATCTACTCTACTCTCCCTGAGAAGCTCTCAGGAAGGGCTGGGAGCAGCTGAGACATTTTTCACTGGAGAGCATTTGGTGAGGGAGGAGAGAACTGGTTAACAGAGAAAGCACTGGCCTAACACCCAAGGGCCCACACCAGAAACAATCTTAAGTCCCTAATCTATCCAGTAGTTTAGTTTCCTATATGAAAAATAAATAGAAGTTAAAAATTGCCACCTTCATGAAGTTATCACAGTAGTAAGAAAATGTCTCAATTGCTCTTTTTATCAAAGACTGTCAAAATCAGTAGGGGATTTGTTGAGTCGACTACTGGCTGAATTATGGGCTCTGGATTCTGATGAGAGATGACCAGCTTGACTTGACTGTTAAGAGCACATTGGTGGTGGTAGGTGACCCAGAAGCATGGGATCTACCATAATTGTGTCCTTTATCACTAAGCAAGGTGCCAGGCCATGATGGTATTTAGTACACATTTGTTGAAGTCAGTTGAGTTAAGGAGTTTTATAGATCTTTTTTTTTTT